TAGGTTTTTAAACAGAACAACTGCAAATGTTGGAACAATTTAATAGAATAGTAAATTGTTAAGAACATGCATACTTGGGCTTGGCATGGTAATCAAGGGATCAATATGAGGCATATTAACTTTGAAGTGCTTATAAGCAGTTGAGCAAAGATGCTGAGTAGAAACTGAATATGAGTATAAAGTTTAGGAGAAAGGCAGAGATGAGAGGTCAAAGTTGGGATACATCAGTATATGGATAACACCTAAAGCCGTGAAACTCAAGGACATTGTCGAGAAAAAGAGCGTGAATTGAAATAAAGACCAATCTCTGGGGCATTCTCCCATTTATAAATGGGAAGAAAGGGACAATGCAGCAGGAATGAATAAGAAGGAGCAGCCACCATATTGGAAGAAATCAGAACTGCAATTGCATAGTATCCCAGAAGCTGATTTGGTCAAAGACTTTTTTAAATTGTGAGATTCTTGAGAGCAGTGGTATTCTAGGACTTAGCTATACATAGATACATGTCATAAATGAATGGACAACAGGGTGAAACATCTAAGAAAGTGATAACACTCTCTCCATCTACTGGGTTAACAAGGCACAGATATTAGAGATTTAACACCCTAACAGGAACAGAACATCGCTGACCTACTTTTTCTCCCTCTGTTTCATGTAAATTGCAGATTCACACATTGCCAGCTCTTAACAACATAGCACTCTTGCTCCCAGAGAAGCAGCCGTAGATACTGGAGGCTGTTAGAACTAGAGGTGATACCCAGCTGTGCCCTGTCTCCACCATGTGGACCACCCACCAAGCAGAGGCTTATGTGTATCCATCCACTGGCCCCAGCATCATGTGTTTCTTCTGCACAGGAGGCCACTGGTGAGGGCTGCTACCCCACCCACAGCGAGGCTCTGCTGCTCTCACATCCTGCCTCTTATAGTGGATCTTCTCACTGACCCAGCTCAGAACAATCACCCTCTTTAGCCTCTGCTCCCAAGGCCTACAGTCTTAGCATCCAGCCTCAGTATGTATCAGTTGGACTCTCTCATTGGGAAACTGTTGGCATCTGTCTCCATGGCTTGTCAACATTTAGTATAGCTTCCTTTATTTCTCTGGAGCTAGAAGATCTAACCAGGAGTAATTTATGTCACAACTATCTTAAAGAATTTTTTGTATAATTATGAATAATTATGGGACTTTTATTTGTTTTAGACTTATGCTAAGCCACATTGGAAACAAGCTGCTTACCCATGAGCAAGTGCTGCATTGCAGTATGTCTGAGTTAGCAGAGCCCTTTGTTCTACCAGATAACCACAGCTTTATTGCCCAATCCCTGAGAATGCCATACCCTGCATGCGGAAGCTAGCTCAAGTACAGATGGTGATTAGGAATCATTATTTTAAACTTCTTGATTTCTTCCTGCACATTGGCCTTAACAGGTAATTTAATAAATAGAAAAAGATGTGATTTTTAAAAATCCTCCTTCCTCTCATATTTAGAACTGTGTTCCAGAGATGCATTTTCATAGGGGGCTACTCTGGGTCAATTTGGGACTTTTGACAATCTGGCCATTTGCTTCCCTGAAAAGAATAATTAATTTGCATTCCCAAGTATAGAATATAGGAAGGCCCATTTCACTATATTCTCAGCTAAATTTGGAATTATCTTTTCAAAGTCTTTGCCTATTATGACTGGTAAAAAAAAAAAAGTTACTTTGTTATAATTTTGATTTCTAATTTGGAACACCAGTGAGGTTGCACACTTTTTCTTATGCTTAACTGTCTATTTTGAAATAGTTTTCTGATAACTACTATCTAAATCAGATTTATTCTTGGAAGGTCAATTGTAGGCTGCAGTAACAACAACAATAACTCCAATATTTTCAGGAAGTAAATTCTGGAAGAAACCTTAAGGAATTAACCTAAATACATACCGGAGAATAGCTTATTCATAGAGCAAGTCTGGTACGCTGCAATGTTCTTTTATTAATAGTAAAGTTGGGAGCTAGAACCTTTGGTTCCTGATGCTATTTTTTCTCATATTGGTTATATAGTTTTGATTTTATTTGTGATATTTGTCTGAGGCTAATGATGTAACTTGGGAGGAAAGAACTGAAAGGAAAAGATTCCTTTAGTAATTCTCCTAAAACTTTTATTTTAGAAAACCATTCTAGATTAACTCAGAAACTTTAAAAAAATTCAATAGGCTTTTGGGCAATAGATTGTGTTTGGTTACATGGATAAATTCCTTAGTGTGACTTCTGAGCTGCTGGTATACCCATCACCCAAGCAGTGTACACCATACTCAATGTGTAGTCTTTTATCCCTTATCCCCTTCCCACCTTTCCTCCTGAGTCCCTCAATTTTTTTTTTTTTTTTTTTTTTGAGATGAAGTCTTGCTCTGTCACCTAGGCTGGAGTGCAGTGGTGCGATCTCTGCTCATTACAACCTCTTCCTCTTGGGTTCAAGTGATTCTCCTGCCTTAGCTTCCTTAGTAGCTGGGATTACAGGCACACACCACCATGCCCAGCAATTTTTTGTATTTTTAGTAGAGATGGCTTTCACCATATTGGTCAGGCTAGTCTTGAACTCCTGACCTCATGATCCACCCGCATCCACCTGCCAAAGTGCTTGGATTACAGGCATCAGCCACTGTGCCCAGCCCATTGTATCATTCTTATGCTTGTGCGTCCTCATAGCTTAGCTCTTCAAATGGTGTGACTTTTTTAAACCTCTAGGTCTACCTGGGCTTTCTTGCATTTGTTTATCAGTGCCTACATTTTATAACAGAAAAAACAAAAAAACACTTATTTTCTATTTTCAGGTGAGAGTTAATGATTTGAGGGGTGTGTATGTAGGTAGATAGATATAAAACATGTATACAAATGTATTTGATGGTGAAAAAGCTGAAAAGGTTGGATACAACTTTCCATTTCATCTCCATTTCGTTCTCTTTCACCTCCTCTTCTGTTTTCCCACACAGAACAGCTGCTCAGAAACTTTTCCCTTAGGAAACCTCTCAGCCAACACTCAGATTCAGATCTTCTGGCTTTCAGCTTCTTTTCCTCCTGTGCTCTTTTTTCCTCCCTCCATTTTCAATTCATTCTCTCTCCCTCTCCCCCTCCCTTCATTTTACTCTCCCCTCCCCTGTCTCCCTTCTTCCCTCCTCCATCTCCCTTCTCCCCTCCTAATTCTCAGTTTCAAGAACAAAGGAAACAAACCAGCAAAAGAAAGAGAGAGAGGGGAAGGAAGGTGGATAAAAAAGAAATCCATTTAGTCAGAAGATGAAAATACAGAAGGCCATGTACCTTCACAAGTAAATATTTGAATCTTGTCACACATTCAAATTAAAAAACTATAATAAAAGAGAATTACAAATGCTGAAGTTAGTCCACAGATGAAGGTGGATAAGCCCCAAGCCAAAAAGTGCAAGATCTCTTTTTGGCTTGGGGCATAAGAAATAAAGAGGAGGAAGAAAAGGAAAAAAGTAGTAAAAACAGTTGTAATATTAACTATAATAACAATGATCATCACCGTCATCATCAGAGTAGCAGCAGCAGCAATGATATATTCAGCAGTGCCTGTATTTCTAGCAGTGAATTGGGCAGATTGTTTCATTTTTTTTGTTTCATTTAATTTTCACAACAGATTTGGTGTGGGGGAGAAGAAGCTACTGTAGTCTCAATTTAGCAGATGAAGAAACTGAGGCTTGTGGCAATTTTTAATTATCTCAAGTTTATGCAACCAGGAAGTAGTAGAGCTGGAATCTGAAACCAAGCTGCTTGATACAGGCTGTGCTCATTCTGTTAAGTTGCCTTGCCTCCGGAAGAGGTGGTAGAAAGGGCTGATAACGCTGGTGGTTTTTGTTGGTATGGTTGCTAAGTCTCCTCTTGCACCCTCTTTTGGTAAATTCCCTCTGACTCTTTTCCACTCCTTGTGGTACCTCTGGAGAAGACACCAGGAAGAGGGCTGTACAGACATGCCTGCCTATCAGAATAATTGTGCCATAGCACATGATACAAGTCTGGCCAGCCAGTTGTTATTTTCTGGGACCTTCTATTTCTAGATGCTGCAGGTAAAACTGTGTTCTCTCCTCCAGCGTCACTATGCTAGAATAAGGTAAGCCTGGATCTGCTTTGCCCTCCACGTTTCCCTTGGCCCCCCAGCCAACCCATATGCGAAGACAAATGGTTACAAAAAGACAGAATGAGGCCAACCCACAGGAAGACAAAAAACTGAAAAAACGAACACCAGAGAGCTGCGCAAGTGTGGAAAATAACGAGCAGACTCTTATTCCCGTCCCATAGCCAAATCAACCCCTGGACTTCCAATGTCCTAAGCCAGCAATCCCCGTGTCTTACGTAAGTGCATGGAGGTTGTGTTTCTACCACTTACAACTTAGTTGTAACTATGGCAGCCTTAAAGAATGAGAAGGACTTTGAGGGGCAGCATACTCGCGAAAGAGAGAAGGAAAGGAGTAAAGAGAACAGAGCAGAGAGCTCAGGGCCGTTTTGGAGAACAAAACACCTCGGTTTGGCATCATTGTAAGTTTGTGAGGTGGACAAGTGGGAGTGACATCTGAAGAAACAAAAGTTGGGGGGTGACACTGGAAGTTGCAAGCTGAGTCCTCATGAAAATGTCACTGTTGGTATTGAGTGTGTGAAAATGGAGGCTAGAGTAGGACACAACCCAGAGGCGTTAGGAATATTGTTGGAATTTATTGATTAGCCCATAGCATTTTCATCCATAAAATGCTTTTTTAATCTATTTTTTGTTTGCATGTCTTTAGAATAGGCACACACAATTTTCAGTGGTCCCCAACACTCATTTTCTCACACATTGTCTACTTTCTTCATGTATGGTGTCTACTGTCCCTGGAAATAACTCAAGATACTAGATACTATTCCTACTCTTTGCCTTTTCAGTTCCTGTCATTCTAATCTGGCAAAGTTAAAGTGCAACATTCTTCTAAGTCCTTTACATCACATTGTATTATTTTTATGTGCTGGGAGAGTCCTGTCACTCTTGGGCATTTGATGATTTCATCAAATCATTATGGTTATCATGATCATTTTGGACTGAGGAATGCCCTGTGCTTTCCACGCTGTCTTTCTAAATCCTACCCAAGTTGGAGAACCTTCCTGACACCCCAAGTCCACCAGGTACCTCCTCTGATTCCTTCAAAATATGTTTTTTTAATTGACCTACCCCCCATTGATGGCTGGCAAATTGCTCTAGAGCTCAAGTTCATTTGCAAGTTTAGTGCTTAGTTATACTTTATACTTCTTTTTCTTATCTGTTTCATATACTTAATTTCTGCATATTCAAGGAGATTGTCAATTTCTTAAAGGCAGAGATTATTTCTTAGAACTTTTCATATCTTTCCATAGTGTCAAGGACACCAGGGGACTCTCCAGTAAACTTAATGGTTTATGATAATGTGTCAAGTAATCCACTGTCTGCCAAGAAATCTCAAGTTTACTCATGAACTGTTGGGAGGAAATCTATCTCCTTTCATCTTCCAGAGTTTTGTTATAACATTCAGCTATCATGATAGAATCAAATTTTGGTCAAGATTCAGCTTGAGACAGAATATTTTAATGAATACAGATGGCTTCTAACTTGAATCCAGATCCTCCAAGTCAGAAAAATGGAATGTTCTCAGCTTCTGAGAATGCAAAAAGCCTTAAAGTTTGAGTCAAAGTGGGGCGTAACTTTGATCTTGCCTTCTATGCTCTACAAGCAGTCTTTATATTCAGATGTCTAAAGAGAAGAAAATAAGTTTTGATCTAGTAAGATACATCTTCCAAGGACTCCTGGCTGATTTGTTTCTGTGAAAAGCTTCAGCAACTATATTATTTTCCATTTTAATTAACTTTGAAATGAAAAGGAACCTTAAATAAAACATCTTTCGAATAGAAGTTGAGACTTGATTTTAGGAAAAGAATCATTTTCCAAGGCACTTGCTCTCTCACTTTTTCCTGTTCACCCATATTCCACTAATTCTTAAGGTCTATTTCAAAACTTTCTCTGCAGAGTTCTTGCAGCCATAACAATCTCTTTAAGGCTATTAACCTCAAGTAGTACAGGACGATAGGTATGTTGATAGGTTCATTCACATTGTGTTGAAGGAGGCCTAACGGTTGAGTCCTCTCATGGATATGTTTATACAGATGGTTCAACTTATGATTTTTTTGACCTTTACAATGATGCATGAGTTATATGCATTCAGTAGAAACTATACTCCAAATTTTGAATTTATTTTCCAGGACTAGGGATATGTGGTGTGATAGTGTCTTGCAGTGCCGGGCAGCAGCGGTGAGCTGCAGCTCCCAGTTAGCCACACGATCATGAGTGTAAGTAGCCGGTATGCTACAGTGTACTGTGTTGCCAGAGTATTTTGCCCATCTATAGGCTAATGTAAATGTTCTGAGCACATTTAAGATAGGCTCAGCTAAGTTGTGATGTTTGGTAGGTTAGATGCATTAAATGCATTTTGTTACTTACAATAGGTTTATCAGGATGTAACTCCATCATAAGTCCAGAAGCATCTGTTTTATAAATGGAGTTTTCCACCAGAGGTATCACACATTGAAATTTCAGGCACTGCTGTACTGGCATGGAGAAGACAATTTTGGGTAAAATAAAGGAGCCTTGTGACACTCCTTGAAAAGCACAGGGTAGATCATTACTTTGCAGAGCACCACTGAATTCCCGTTCATAGAGCCTTGTAGGCTGGCGGCTAGAAAGCAAGCAGGGCTTAGCATCTGTGGAAGAGTCGCCCCACATTTCACTGAGTTCATGCACTTGTATGTTGCCCTCAAACTTTTGACTGCAAGAACAGAAATAGGAGTGTAACTTCCAGGCATCTGCAAGTCTTTGCCTGGAGGATGTAAAGCTTACAGCTCCTAAGCCTGTAATAAGCTTTTTACCTTAAAGTGTTTCCTTCTGCCCTCCAGCTATTTTAACAAGGACTATCATTTCACACACTGTTGTCCCAAAAATGTGTTGGTCCTGCATTTAGATGGGAAGAGCTCCCAGCTCTTAAGTCCATAATGGATTCCCATATTAAAACATTTGCTTCACCAGTCTGGTGATTGCGTTCCCACCATCATTTCACATACGTTGTCTTGAAACGTGATGGTGTTTGTAGAGCTCCACTGCATCTACTCTGAACCCAAGTCCTGCACTCCATCTAATAGGACATGGGTGAGATGGTCTGTACTTACACTAAGAGTTGACTTATAATGGATTTTTAAAAACATTGCTTGACTGTGTCCAGAGAAATCCAGTGGTCTTACAAGGCTGGTGTTCCTGATTCTCCCATGTACTCTGAGGTTAAATGAACAATTTGCACAAGATCTTTTGGAAGACATTGTAGAAATCCATGCCCTTTTTTTTTTGAGGCAGAGTCTCACTCTGTCACCCAGGCTGGAGTGCAGTGACACAATCTCAGCTTACTCCAACCTCGGCCTCCTAGATTCAAGAGATTCTCCTGCCTCAGCGTCCTACCACACCTGGCTATTTTTTTTTTTTTTTTGTATTTTTGGTAGACATGGGGTTTCACCATATTGGCCAGGCTGATTCCAAACTCCTGACCTCATGTGATCCGCTAGCACAGCCTCCCAAAGTGCTGGGATTACAGGTGAGAGCCACTGCGTGTGGCCAGAATTCATGTACTTCTCACAAAGTGGGATGAGGAATGTTTAGTTTATGGAAACCATGCATAATCTGATATTCCTCTGTAGATAAGTGACTGTCTGGAACATTTTCATCATAATAGTTTATGTTGCTGAATTTCTAGTATATGACCAGCACTTCACATTTAATACCCTCAACAAACCCAGGGGGAAAGTGATAATATCCCAAGTCTATCCAATTAGTAAGGTCATACTTTTAGAACTGAGATTTAAACCTAGGACTGAGTCAAAAGTCTTTCTACCATATTACATGGCCTGTAGGCATGTATGTTGTTTTAAAGCACCAATTCCTTCCAGGATAGAATCTAAAAGACAATCACGTTAAAGAAGGAAGAGCCACTTAAACACTTATAGAGGATATGGCATTGAAATGGCAGTCGAAAAAACCTGGTTTTGCTCCCAATTGACTGTGTCATCTTAGACATGTCATTTAACCTCTCAGAATCAATTTCTTCAACTAGGCCTGTTTTCTCTTTTATAAAATGGATGATTTGAATTCGATGATTTTTAAGTTTGCGTCAGCCTCTGTGAGGTTTTGTGATTCTATGAAGTAGTTTTTAGTTTACTCTCTAAGACATATTTTTTAACTCCTTGGATCCCTAAGAGATGGTGTTGAGTTTGAACTCATTTTCCATATTCCACTGTGGGTTTCTTTTACCCTATTTGCCCTCACTGCCACAGAGCCTCCGTTCTTGACTTTGGGGGAACTCGCCCCCAGGGTCTGGTGTGTTGGATGCCATATGACCAGTTATCTGCTTCAGGGACCCTTCTTTTATTACATTAGTCTTCATCAATACTTCGCTCCCAGTTGGGCATCCTCAGGGCCCAGGGTCAAGGGGAAAGTGAAAAGGAGGTCTTTTCTCAGTGGTCTGACCTTATCAGGTAGAATGTGCAGTTTCTGCATTCTGCCTCACTCTGTTCAATCTATATTGGCCTCAAATATACCATATTAAGCACCTGCCTCAGGGCCCTTGCACATACTATGCACACTGCCTTCAGTGATCTCTCCAGGTAGATCTCTTCCTTCAGGTCTTAACTCAAATATCTCATTAAACCCTGCCTTGGCCATCTTATCTAAAACTCTAAACTATCTCCTTTCCACCACCACTCCTCCAGTATTCTGACCCTTCCCTTACTTTTCTATAGTATGTTACACACACACACACACACACACACACACACACACACGCATTTTGTATACAAAGATTTATATATATATGTATATATAAAGACATACGTAATATGAAGACATATATATAAAGCCATATATATACATATATGCACCTAACATACTCTGGACTTAGTATATATATTAGTGTAGTATATATATATATATATATTATATATATATATTATATATATATAATATATATATATTATATATATATAATGTGTATAATACACACACACACACACACACACACACACACACATAAAGCCTCTATATTGTGTCTATATTGGATACTGTGTATTTTAGGTAATTTTTCATTGCTCATCTCTCCCATAAGTATCCAAGAAGTTCCATGAAAGCATGGATTCCTGTGTGTTTTGTTCACCATCTACCTCCAGTGCCCAGAACAATGCTTGGCCCATTGTAAGTATCTAGTAAATATTTTTAAATGGAATGCCCAGGATACAGTGGCTGTGGAGTCCTATTATCCCCTCCTTTAAAAATCCTACTTCCTCAAGGTATCCCAAAGGAAAATTAATATTTATAAACTCAAATTTTCTGAATATTACATATGACATATGAATAAAAGCATCGTTAGTAAACTTTAATATTTTTAGATTTCCTTTAATTAAAACATAAGAACAGCATTCTTGTGAAGCAAATACTATTCATTGATGACAAGTTTCCTGGCCCCTTTTCCAACCAGGCTGCAGCCATTGTGCCCTCTTCTATAGAAATTCTGAAGCTGCCACTGTGAAATAGTATTTGTTTTCTGTTTTATACTTAACCTTGAGAGGAGAAAGGGGAAATAAGGAAAGAAGAAAAAAAAAACCCTATACTGCCACTATAATACTAACAATGGAGTGAAATAGGGTATGAAACTCAGTTACATGTATGTGAGTAATTCATTGAAAGAACTTAATTCAAGAAAATATCTAATACATTATTTATCTTATTTGACTCTCTAAATTGTTTGCAAGGTCATTTCTACTCAACTTTGAGAAAGTGTCTCTATTCTCAGATCACTAAGTGCTCAGCATTCAATAAAAAATGGTCTCGGTGAACTTCTCACAGTGTGAGCTCCAAATCGTCCTCGTTCCAAGTGAGAAATTATCTTTTGAAAAATGAAAGATAAGAGACCTACGGG